TTACCTGATAATTTCAATGAAGCCAAGCTTATCACCTTCAGCATGCTGATATTTTGTGCAGTGTGGATCACCTTTATCCCAGCATATGTCAGCTCTCCTGGAAAGTTCACTGTGGTTGTGGAGATTTTTGCCATTCTGGCCTCCAGCTTTGGACTAATAATGTGTATATTTGCTCCAAAATGTTTTATCATATTGTTTAAGCCTGAGAAGAACACCAAGAAACATGTACTGAGCAAAAACCACTAAATCATAATTTAGTGGTTTAGAAATTGTTAATGTTACAATTCCAAGTCAAAATTGCATATAATTGTAAATCAATTTCTGGATACTGGCTACACATAATAGACAACTGCCTGACTACACATATGCACCTACACAGACATACAAACTTCTGGTATTTTCTCTTAACAGGGTCTCTCACATGGTATTCATCAGCAATACTTTCATTATTGTTTGCTATTATTACTGCTATCCATATTATTATTATATTATATCATGTCAGTGCTGACCGATTTGGTTTAAATGAGTCTCTCTGTGTTGGTGGGTGATTGGGGACTGAACTGGGGTGTCTGCACTGCACCCTCAGCACTTTTGGTGACTTGCTCTAGACCCAACCGTTTCAAGTGGTTAAAAGGAAAGTCATAATTTAATAAAATTTCTTATCTCTGTATTTACATAATGATTGATTTATTTTTTTTCATTTATTTTTGCTACCTATACTTTGTAATGACACTACTATAACTGTTATTTCATATTATTATCATTATTATTGTTGTTATTATTGTTATCGTTATTATTATCATTATGGGCATTATTGCATTTGAGAGCATTTTTATTTCTTTATATAGTTTATGTAGTTTGCATTACTACATGAAATTATTTCATTTACCATTTCAACCAACACACAAACTGGACTGTACATAGTAAACAGATACTGGAATCACCTTAATAATGTCTTTGCACAACTTGCTTGTCTTTTTTGTCTGTTCACCTGTCCTTACTGGACCAGTTTGTCTTGTTTACCTCACAATAAAACTAAAAAAGAGGAATCCCACACCTTCAAAGCACATAACCGAGTTCTTCTTCTTTGTTATTTAGAAAACTTTTTCTGTGAAGTTATTATACATTTTTTAAATTATTGTTTGTATGTGTCAATTTATGAATACGTAATTCAGAGTAATCAGAGTAGGGGTAGTAATAGTGAATATTGAAATAAATGTAAAGTCACATTTCACAATAACACAATAACAATATAATTCTGATTTATTTTTCAGTTGTTTCGTACAATGGAATCTAACATTTCCATTTGAATCAAACATGAGGTCCAAGACTGCAAATTTAAGTTTAAAGTGAACTGAGTGAGCTCTGTCATCTATACACATATCTCGCACCAATTTAATCATTTATTTATGATGCAGTGGGAAGCATTAAGAAGCACTGAGTCTTATTATTAATGCGGATGCTACGTTGACATGTAGACACTTAAATGTTCTTAAGCAAGGACACAGCATCACTGTC